CTAAATTCCTACAGTGAATTCCTTTGTTGTAGCCTCAAGTGCACTCTCCTGCTCTTCTCTCTTTTCACGATCAATTTCACGTTCTGTTCTTCTCACTTCTTCTTTTCTCCATATTAACCCTTGGATCCCTAAATCTTAATTCCAAATTTACCCTCATCCACTAAATAATTATTTTAATTATATTTATATAATAACTACTCTTGTTATTCCAATAATAATAATAAACTAAAACACTAGACATCTCTCTATACTCTTATGTCTCTATATATTAGTCATACACCTAAACCTAATTATCTATAATTTATAAGATAACAACTTCTCACCAAAGAACAACAACACATCCCGTATTCATTATAACACACAAAAGCACCACATTTCATAATTACTTTATTAAAAATAATTTAAACAAAAAACGCTATGTTACAATCCCAACCAAGTCCTAAAAGTTACATGAATAACTTTTTTTCCTAAATCTACCACAAAACTATATGTGAACATCACATGTGTCACCTAAAAGGTTAGCTGACCGGCATATGTTGGAAACCAACTAACACTTTTTCTATCTCCTTATCTAACCTCATAATTAGTTTTGATATTATTTCACCCTTGTAGATTTTTTACCTTTTCCCTAATTGTTTCAAACCTACCCATTAGGTAGTTCCTAATCCATTCAAACACAGGTATAATGAGTTTGTCTCTTTGTATGAGTATAGTAGAATTAAATGATTCACTAAGTTTATTCATTAAAACATCTCACTTAGAGTAGAATGGAAAGACGTGCTTACTCCATTTATGTTTTGGAATGACATTTAACAACTAAAAAGCATTTATGTTGGCCGCCTTAATTTTCATCATTTTTGCCTCATGTGCTTCATAGTATATAGCCTTGGCAGCAACCATCATGAGATCTATGAATAATGTTCCACCTCCAAAATTCTTTTTGAAGTTAGCATATAAATATCATAAAGAGAACCTGTGCTCATATGCAAGGTAATCCTCAACAAAAACCTACACAAGCCCATGCACATAATAACAGACCATATTTGCAACTAGTTAATAATAGACCATAGACAAATTGACAAAGAATAAACAGTTTTATATACCTTTTGTTGATTATAAATAAAGCACCACCTTGTATCACCTATAACTTTAATAAGTAGCTACATGAACCAACTCCAAGATTCCTTAGGTTTAGTCTCTACAACCCCGAATGCAGTAGTCAGATACTGATCATTGCATCCCTCCAATTACAATTAGTAGAATTTCACCATATTTGTTCTTTAGGTGACAACCATCTAAGCCTATGAATGGTCTACATGCCTGAGCCAATGCCTTTTTGGTTCCATCAAAGCACATATAACATTTTTCAAATCTTGGTTGCAACTCAGGTATGTTAATGTTTAACTTTAACGTGTTTCTTGTAAATGTCCTCCTTAATTCAGCACCATATGACCATAACATACTATATTTCTTTCTTGAATCTCCTTCAACAACTTGTCTTTCCAACAGTCTAGCTTTGAAAGCTCTGTAATGCAACAATGCAAAAACTATTACTTTGTCACACAAGTGGGTACCATAAACAATTTAAAAAAGAGTATAATGCACCTTTCTTAATCTTGGGACCACACCTTTTGAACAACAGCTATAAATGGATAAACAATGCAATTGGCGCTTCAAATGACGAATAAGTGAAGGAAATTTGTTGATGAACTAGTTACGTCTGCAACTCATCTTCAAACGACGATGATG